AAGGCCAATTTTCAAGGGGTTCCGAGTTTTTGAGAGAGAAATCGATTCCTAGAGAGAGAAAGCGACGAACCAGAGTTCCCAAGCGCCATAGATCGATCTTCAACACCATTGGAGCCCGTCTTGAGCTTGGAGAAGTGCGATTAAACGTCCAGGAGCAGAAATCCAACTTCACAGTATGATTTCCGCGTCTGAATCTGCTTTTGCTTCTTTCTCTATGGAGTAGTTTCCCCATTCATCTGGGTATGGGGAACCCTAGATCTGTATGCTAGGTCTGATTGTATGAACCCAAGTACAGAGTTTGTGAATTGATTATATTCGATTGAGGTTTGAATGATTGAATGACTTGAATCCTGATCAAATTCCTGTTGTTTCTGCTTTGACCTGGAATGAGAATATCTGCCTAGGTTGATAGAGTACCCTTAATCGAAGGTGGCGAATTGGTGACTTTAGTCGAGGAGCCAATTCGCTATTCTGTACCGAAGTTAATTCGGTAGTGGAGGTTTGGTTCATTAGGGCCTCAATCTGTTTACTCCGGTGGAGGTTAGTCGCCCGCTAGAGACTCAGATTGAGAGGGTCTGGAGACCTTTAGTCGAGACTTCAGGCTAATTGAGAACCTTCCGCAGTATAACTTTCATGAAAACTGAACTTGGTAACTTGCAATCCGACTTAACTGCAGTCTAGGGGGATCCATATCCGGGTGACCTCTCTTGACTTGACAACAACCGTTTACTTGCTTTGTGTTTTGTTTGCTTGAGTTGCACTAAAAGTTCACCGCTAAATAACAAGAATTCACTGAGTAGTCATCACATCTAGGACCCGGGTTGACAATAAAACCCAAACCCGCTATACTACGCTTTAGGAAGTGGTTGCACTTGGCCATTTTCTAGAGTGACAGTAGGAGTGAGTCAAGTTTTTGGCGCCGTTGCCGGGGACGACTAGGTTGTTGAAGAAAAGTGATTTCTGTTACTTTAGCATTTTCATTTCTTGCATTGAGTTTTTGTTCCTTCCCACTTGTGCCTTCACGGGTTTGCATTGCTTGATTGTGTGCAGATAGTGCATGACCCGTAGCCAGTCGGGAGGTTTACTGCCGTTGAATCCTGAGATTGAGCGCACCTGCAAACAACTTCGGAAACAACAGCGAGCTAGACTGGCTACGGTGGAGCGCAGAGACGGCCAATTGAGCAGCGACTCCGAGGACGAGTACGAGATGGAAGGCAATCAGAACCCGGGTTGACAATAAAACCCAAACCCGCTATACTACGCTTTAGGAAGTGGTTGCACTTGGCCATTTTCTAGAGTGACAGTAGGAGTGAGTCAGTCCCTCTGTGATGGAATGATCATGATGCTTTAGAATTACAGGTGAGTGAATTATATGTCCAAATTTTGTCATGCATAGTGGTTATATGTTACACCCGCTCTTCCCAAAACTCAAAATGACTATTATACCCGTGGGAAAATTTGTCAAATTCCATCGTAATATCCATGAGGACTAAAAATGCGAACTCTCAGTTCAAACGGTGTCGAGTTTCGACATAAATCGAGTAAGTTACGTACGCTAGTTGAGTTTCAGATTAAACTCACCTGTAATTTAGGAAATGCCCAAAATACCCCTCGAGTTAATTAAAACCCAACCCCAACCCTAATCTCTGGTTCCACTCGGCAACACCCAAACAAAAAAAAACCCTCGCAGCCCTTTTTCTCCACCGGAAAGGCTTTCGGGAAATCAGCAGCAGGAGGTGGCGGCGCGATTCGCTTGGCAAAGTGGCGCAATGGACAAGTGACGCTCCATTGGGGAAGCAGGCAGGAGGCGGTGTGCTCGCGGGAGCCTGGTGGCGGTGGGCTTCAGGCAAAAGCGGCGCCTTTCGGAAGGTCGCAGTAAAAGGGCCCACCTCTTAATTCCAAGGCGATGCTGAAACTCGACCACCTTCAAAGGCTTGCGCTATGGGCTGGAGCAAAAGCTTCAATCCTTCTCTTGGCGCTTTCTTTGGTAGCCAGTTCGCCACAGCGGCAGAAACTCACGGCGTCCCACCTGACCCGTCTCTGTTCCCATGCCAAAGTCATTTAAAGAGCTTTCGCGAAGCACACAGAGGAATGGAGTTGCGAGCGTTCATGTAAGGAGAGACGAATCTAACGCGAGTTCAAGTCAATTAATTTGACCCTAAGGTGAGTGTAAAGGGGGTAAATTCTACGCCTTACGTATATTTTTAAGTATTATAATTTTAAGTATTTTAGCGAATTGGTTACCATTGATTGATTATTTGTGCTTTGCTTTAGCTATGATTTGGGGTGATTTGTGGTGATTTTGTGCTATTTACCTTAAAGCGTTATGTTATGAGTTATTGTTAAAGTTTAAGAAACAAGTTCTTTTAAAGAATTAACTCACCTTCAAGAAGGTGAAGTCGTTTTAAGTGTTTTTAGTCACTAGCGCCAGTCCGTTGCCTTTTGAGACATTTTGAGATAGAGCAGCAGTTATGCTCTTGAGACTTTTAAGATGGGCAACAGTTATGCTCTTGAGAATCGTGGTGAAGAGCCACCACGATAAGTTTAAGATGTTAGGGGGATGAATCATTACGACTCCCCTAACTAAGTTTAAGTTTAAGGAAAGCCTGGATGGCTTCTCATACGTATGAGTTGGCAACCAGAATAGCTAGTGAGGGATCCCCGTGTCAGTCAAGTATTTAAGTCAAGATTTGAGCTTTAAGAGAGGAGAATAACTTCAACTCCCTCAAAGTTTAAGAGTTAAGATTTTAAGATTGGAAGTACAAACAACTTCCACTAGTCGAAGTTAAGTGTTTAAGTAAAGTACTTAAGTATTAGAATTATTAAAACGTAAGGGCGTAGACTGACCCCAACTCACTCACCAGGCCTTAGTAAGGGAATGAGCGAGAACCAGATCGGTAGCAGCTAGCTAGAGGAGCAGTAAGAGAGAAGCGAGTTCGAGAGGAAAAGTTCGAGAGCAACCAGCTAGAGGAGGGCAGTGCAAGCGTCACGGAGGATGCCTAGTTAAGATTTTCAGTAGCACCAACGACAGAGACTACCTAGTTATTTACATTTTATGATTATGAGTATAGACTGGAGATCAGATTGAGATTTAAAGTTTGAGTTTAATTTGCCCACGTGTTAGGGCTTTGTTCTGAACTACAAGTGTGTGTTTTCAGTATTTTATTTATGAAAATTTTTCCCGCTTCAATTTAAGATTTGAGCATTTTATTTATCAAGGGCATTTTAGTAAAAGTAGTACCCGACCGGGTTAGGGTGTTTCATTTTGGTATCAGAGCCGGTCTTCCTCTGTTCCTTGGTCTTCAAGGAATACTGGAATATCGGTCTCGGTTTTAAAGGCTTTTGTTTTTAAGGAAACGATTAGTCATGCACCCTGAGAATGTGATGGTGTGATAAGTCCTCAGTAAGGACTTTGTGTACATATTCGGTTATGCGCCGAATGCCCGGGCTATGGGAGGAAGTCACCGATGCTTTAGATCGGCGGAGGTGGGGGAGCCTAAGCATCAAGGAGGAGGTAGAGGAGGAGGAGGAGTGGGAAAGAAGATGATGGTGCATGGCTAGGCCGGAATGGGTGATGGATGTTTGTATGTGCATGTGTTTGATGTGAATCGTGCTTATGTGTGTGTATGTGGTGACTAACGATGTTTAAGTGGTATGATGCTATCAAACCCAGTCGCACTACTTTTCTGTGAGTTTGTGATGGTTCTATATATGTCTATGTGTGAATTGTGGATGTTTATATAGGTACTAGTGTAATAAGAACAAAAAGGGTATAACGTTTGCCGTGATTGCTCAATACCTTTTTTATGTTAATTACGATATTAGGTTAGCTTTTACCCATTGAGGTGGCGTATCACCCCGTCAAAAAATTTCCCCAGATTAGAAGTGTTGGACTAGAAGTCAAGGAAACTCAGTAAGGCTCAGCTCGGCATCAATGAGGTGGGATGGTTGACTTAGACTCCGACATGACTTGTTTATAGTATTTTGAGAGAAGATGGTTTTCTTTACTGTCATGTGTTTTGAAGTATTAAAAGTTTATGTAAATTATGGTTTGGTTTGTAAGCTAAACAAGAATGTGTACAGTTTGACAAGGATGGTTTTGTAAAATGGTTTCAAACAATGCAGTTAAAAGCTAGCTTTAAAGCGTAAAAGCGTACGCTTTTATGCTTTTAACCTCACAAATATCGTAGCTTCTATGTAAAAAGCGTTGTGCATCAAAAGCGATGTAAAAGCGCTGTAAAAGCGCAGAAGCGTAGTGAAAGCGGTAAAAGCTAGCTTTTCAACCGCTTTTGAAAGCTTTTGGTATTAGGTTACATAACTAAGACCGGGTTGGGTTTTGGTCGGATTTCGGCTGGGGTTTGATGGCCAAAAAGATAAAACGACGCCGCTTCATGCCCATCAAAGTTTTTGAACTCGGTTGTCCTTCTCAAAACTTAAAACCCTAAATTTCCAAGCTTCTCCTCCATTACCCTGACTCTCTACGGCTGCAAAAAGAATCGCCTTCGACGGCACCAAAAAATCCAACGTCCCTGCTTCTGCCGACCATCGCATCTGCTTCTTCTCCTCTAGGCGAAGAGACTCCGGCGTCCCACTTGCCACCGACTAATTACAGCAACAAGTTTGGTCTTCTCCCCAAATTGGTTAGTCAATTCGTATATTCCTGGGAGGGTTTTTGCCCCTGCTACTGTAAAGTCAAAGATCTCGTTACTTTGCTTAAATGAGAATAGATTGTTGTTGTTTCTTTGTTATGCCCACGGTCCATTTTTGTTACTTTGAGTTACTTAGATTTATATATATTGCTTCTGGTTTTTTTACTCCACTCGTCCCTGTCCAGCTGCCTCTATCCATTTTGTTACTCATTTAAATTGTTCATTTGAGTGATTAATTTGCTTGTCATGATTTAAGTCTTAGCCACGAAAAATCATATATAATGATTACTGTTTGACTTGAGTGATTAATTTTGTGTGATGGTGTGAAATTTCAGATTTGGATTTTCTTATATGGCGTCCTCTACAGCATCTGTACCTGGTTCTAAAGCTAAGGCTAAGCATAAAAATGCAGCTGAGACTCGTGGTGATCCGGGGTGGAATCATGGAATTGATCTTGATGGTAATGGTGTAAGGGTGAAATGCAATTATTGTCAGAATGAATACATAGGGGGCATCTATCGGTTGAAGAATAATCTTGCAGGAAATAAGGTTAATGTTGAGGCTTGTCTTAGTGTGCCTGATGCAGTTAGGAATCAATTTCGGGAATTGTGGGATGCCAAAGAAGAAGCAAAAGCGACAAAAAGGAAACATTTGCATGATTATGGACAACATGAGGATGAATGTGTTATAAGAGAAGGGGCATCCAACAAATATTCAGCTAGTGCATCTTATATAAGGAAGCATTTAGCTAGTGGCAGTGACACTAAGAAGCAAACAACAATGAATGAGTGCTCTTTTGAAGAAAGAACTCAGGCAAAAAGCATGCAAGACAATATCAAAATGGTTCTATGAAAATGCACTTTCGTTCAATTCATCGAGGAGTTATACATATCCTCAGATGTGGGACGATGTAGCTCGACATGGTCCTGGTTTTAAGCCTCCATCCTACCATGAGCTAAGGGAGACATTTCTGAAAGAGCAAATAAAAGTAGTGGAGGAAAAACTTGAGATATTCAAAGATGAATGGAAGACAATGGGTTGCACAATCATGTCTGATGGATGGACCGATAGGAAAAGGCATTGCCTTTGCAACTTTTTGGCTAACAGTCCTAGAGGTACTGTATTTATCGAGTCTGTCGACACTTCAGATTTTCCAAAGACTGCTTCAAAGGTGTTTGAAATGCTAAATGATATTGTTGAGAAGGTTGGAGAAGAAAATGTTGTCCAGGTTGTGACCGATAATGTTTCAGCTTACAAAGCAGCAGGGAAATTATTAATGGAGAAGAGAAAGCATCTATTCTGGACACCATGTGCATAGGGATGGCAGTTCAACCCGGACCCGCGGGTACCCGACCCGACCCAACTCGGTCAAACCAGGTAAAATCCGTATTGACCGGGTTCGGGTTTAAACCCAGTGGCTGGTTGGGCGGGTTCGGGTTTGGGGGAACCCGACCCGTGGATACCCGGACATACATCTCTACTCCCTACCCTAAATTACCCCATTCGACAATTCCCAATCCCAGAACCAATTTCCACTTCCCACTTCCCATTGCCGCCAATCTTTCCGCGACCCATCTTCCTCTCCTGCCTCCGCGACCCATCTTCCTCTCCGCGACCCATCTTCCTCTCCGGCCTCCGCGACCCATCTTCCTCTTCCCGACTCCTCTTCTCCACCTTCCGTCCCGACTCCCAATCCGCCTGGCGACGGCCAACCCGCCACCACCAAAACCCTCTGCCGATCTCCGCCTCCATTCTCGAATCCCGCCACCACCAAAACCCCCTGCCGAGCATCCGCCTCTCCGAATCCATTACCGCCCGCGCCGCGCCCTCTCCGACTCCCTGCTCCTCTGCCCCGCCACCCTCTTCAGCTCTTCCTGCTCCTCAGCAACGCCTTCACGTCGTCTCTCACCTCCTCGCTGAACGCAACCGGACAAAACCCACTCCTTCTCAACCTCCCCGACCAGGCGACCACCTCTCCGCCGTCTCCCTTCGCTCAGTCGACTCCGCCGCCGGACACGCCACCAGGTCTAGAATCGCCCTCCCGAGTCCCGGCCCCTCTCTCCAGCATCAGCCGCTCGTTGCTTGTCTTGGGAAAGCTCTCCTCCAATCCAAACACTCAAGTACACCCTAAGTAGTTGCTGTGCAAGTGTGTATGTTAATTAATTAATCTGGATTCAAGTACACCTAAGTAGTTGATGTGCAAATGTGAAAGTTAATTAATTAATCTGTGAAGTAAACCCTAAGTAGTTGTTGTGTATGTTAACTAATCTGGATTGAAGTAAACCCTAAGTAGTTGTTGTTAATTAATTTGGATTGAATATACTGATTATATTTGTGATCCGCATGATTCGTTGCATCACTTTGGTAGATGTTAAGTGGACGAGAGATAGATATATTGTTAGAGAGCTATTAGGTAAGAGATTTAGTATTTTGGATGTGTTGCAGATTTTTTTCTATGATGTTGGGAAGTTGAAACTGTCACTCAATTCACTATGATTTTGCTTTGTGTAGGTGCTTGATATCGCTTCAAATGCCTCTGAAGCCGGAACTCCAATTGTTAGTGGAGGTGATGAGACTATTGGTACTACTTCTACACCTAATCCCACTAGTGAGAGTAGTAATGGTGCTGCTGCACCTGCAGCACCTACTGGTGTAATGGATAGTGGACAACCAACAAGATCTAATGAGGTTAATGTTCTTGATACAAGTGGGCTTAAAAGTGATGTTTGGTCGCATTTCAACAGAATTTTGAAGGATGGGGTTCTTAAAGCCGAATGCATACGATGTAAGAAGCTCTTATCTACTTCTACTAATAACGGGACCAGTCATTTGCGCCAGCATATTATAAATACATGTCCGAGGAAAAAATGCAAAGATCTTAAACAAATGCTTTTGACAAAGAATTTGAAAGGAGATGTTAGCAAAGCAAAAGGCAACAAATTTGATGAGGAAGAAGGGAGGCGTGCTTTAGCTTCCATGATTATATTACATGAGTACACTCTCTCTATTGTTGAGCATATAGGTTTTAGAAGATTTCTCTTCATCATTCAACCTTTATTCAAGTGCCCTTGTCGAAATACATTGAAGAGTGACATTTTCAAGATCTTTGAGGTTGAGAAGAAGATGCTTATGAGTATGATCGAGGAGAATTCGAGTAGGATAGCGATTACTAGCGATATGTGGACTGCTACTAATCAAAAGAAGGGATTTATGGTGGTGACTGCCCATTTCATTGATGCTTCTTGGACAATGCGGAGCTACATTCTTAGGTATTTAATCCTCTTTAATCATTGCTTATTAATTTGTGATTTTTAGGCTGTTTTGTGTGATTTTTGGACTATTTTATAGGATTTTGGTGTGCTGGCAGCACCTATTTATGCTCTTTTCATGCTTGTTTTTTTGTGCTTGCAACATATATTGTTTTGTTTGCTTGTTTTGTGATTTTTGGATTGTTTTCAGTGATTTTTTGAACTGTTTTATGTGATTTTAGTGTGCTGGCAGCACCTATTTTTGGCCTTTTCATGCTTGTTTTTTTTGTTCTTGCAGCATCTAACCTTTAGTTTGTTGTTATATTTTGATTGTAGGTTCATATATGTACCTTGCCCGCATACTAGTGAAGCACTTGCTCAGGTTCTTATCGAAACTTTGTTTGAGTGGAATGTTGATACGAAGTTGTCTGCAATTACTCTAGATAACTGTAGTACGAACGATGCATTGATTGACTTGGTCAAGTATAAGTTGAATCCTGAGCGTTTGATGTGGTCTGGGGCTAAAATTCACATGCGTTACTGTGCTCATATTCTTAACTTGATTGTCAAGGATGGATTGGATGTGATAAAGCGAAGTGTAGAGCGCATCCGTGATAGTGTGCAATTCTGGACAACAACTCCTAAAAGGAAAGAGAAGTTTGAAATAGTTGCAAAACAATTGAAAATTTCTTATGGGAAAAGTTTGTCCTTGGATTGCCCAACTAGGTGGAACTCTACCTTTTTTATGCTTCATTCTGCTTTGAAGTATAAGATTGTATTTCCTCGTCTGAAGCAAATGGATAAGGATTACAAGACTTTACCTAGTGAGTCTGATTGGGAGTTTGCAAGAAAGGTTTGTGACAAGTTGGAGTTGTTTTATGATGTGACTGAGCTATTTTCAGGGGCTAAATACCCAGCTTCCAATTTGTTCTTTGAAAAGGTGTGCGACATAAAGGTGGGCATCTCTAATTGGATGTTGGATGATGATGCTTTCATTAGAGATATGGCCAAAAGCATGATGACAAAATTTGAGAAGTATTGAAGTACTATTCATGATGTTTTAGCTATTGCTGCTGTATTTGATCCAAGGTATAAGTTTACCTTGTTGGAGTGCTATTTTCCATATATCTATGGCGTTGAATCAAGGGCATGTATTGAGAGTGTTCGACAATTGTTGGTTGAATTGGAGAAGGATTATAAGAAGTTAAATGTGGAGGTGAGTCAAGAAGGAAATTCGTCTAATGATGGGAGTTCGATTAGTCAAGGTGGAGGAAGAATGACAGCATATGATAGGTATGTAGCATCGTTGACTACTAGCAGTGTAGATGTTGAAACTGAGTTGGATGGCTACCTCAAGGAGAAAGTCTTGCCCAAGACAGCTGGATTTGACATTTTATTGTGGTGGAAGGCAAATGAGTCAAAGTATCCGACTTTAGCATTGATTGTTAGAGACATACTTGCAATTCCAGTGACTACTGTGGCTTCTGAGTCTGCTTTTAGTGCCGGTGGAAGACTAGTTAGCCCTAGTCGCAGTAGACTTCTGCCAGAAACTGTTGAGGTTCTAATGTGTGCTCAAAACTGGTTGCTCAATTCAACCGTTCCAGGTAGCTTGATAACCTTTGATTGTTTGATTTAACATATGAACTTTAATGCATGTTTTGAGTTATGATATTGTTGGTTACCATTATTTGCTAACTTGCTATCCTATTTGCAGATGGCTTGGAAACAATTGATAAGCTCATGACTTATGCCACTGTTAATGATGACCTAGATCCAGATTGTGCTTCATGTGTTACCGGTATATTTAATATTATAACTATCTTCTTTAAAAAATCCATCTTTCTTATGTTTGTGGAGACATTTCTAATTTTGGCTTACCTAATTCTGTAGAATGAAGTCGATGTTATGGAGCCGAAAGTGAAGCTAAGATGACAATGTTCAAGTTCTCAAGGAGGAGGAAACTTTAATTAATCATGTTGTGTATGGATAATTTGTGACTTTGAATTTTCTATATTGGAGTTGAACAATTTGTATGGATAGTGTGTGATTTGTTTGAATTTTCTAGAACGATGTTTCATGTATTGATAGTTTCTTGTTAATTATTATTTTATAAATATTTTACCAAAAAAACCCACGGGTACCCATCAACCCGTGGATACCCAGCGGGTTGGGTTGGGTTTGAGTTTTTCAAACCCAATCGGGTTTTACCCCGGGTTTTTTTGACGGACAAACCCATGGGTTTGGATTCGGGTTTGGCAAAACCCGCCCCAACCCGACCCATTGCCATCCCTACATGTGCAGCTCATTGCATAGACTTGATGTTAGAGGATTTTGAGAAGCATATTAAGGTTCACAAGTCTACTATCACCAAAGGTAAGAAGATTACAAATTTTATATATGTGAGGCCAATGCTTATTGCCATGATGAAGGAGTTCACTGCGAATAAAGAATTGGTGAGGGCAGCTGTTACAAGATTTGCTACTTCTTATATGACTTTGGGATCTCTTAGTGAGAACAAGGGTCAATTGATGACAATGTTCTCTTCAGAGAAGTGGAGAAAGAGTAGCTTTGCTAGTATTCAAGAAGGAAAAAGAGTTCAGGGGGTTGTGCTTGATGGTAGATTCTGGCGTGACGTGACAACCTGTCTTAGAGCTGCACTTCCTCTTGTGAAGGTTTTACGCTTGGTTGACTCTGATGAAAAACCAGCAATGTCATTCTTTTACTTTGAGTTGACTGAAGCAAAGGAGAAGATCAAGAAAAACTTCAACAATGTGGAAAGCAGGTAACTTTTAAAATGACTATGTTTAATTATGTTTTATTCTTTACATGAGCAATGACAATGTTGCTTTTTTATTATAGATACAAGCCAGTAATAAAGATCATTGAGAAGAGATGGGAAGATCAAATGAGCAGACCATTACACTTTGCTGCATTTTGGTTGAATCCTCAAGTTCATTATGCTAAAGGCTTCAATCATAATGATAAAAGGGTGAAACTAGCATTGTATGAATGTGTGGGAAGATTGGCTAGGGATGAAGAAGAGAAGTTTAAGATAATGGAACAGATGGATGCATTTCATTATGCTAGAGGCATGTTCAATCAGTTTGGTGCAATGTCTTTGAAGGATAGGAAACATCCTGCTGATTGGTGGAATTCATTTGGAGATGAAGTACCAGAACTGCAGAAATTTGCCATTCGAGTGCTGAGTTTGACTTGCAGTGCTTCTGGCTGTGAGCGTAATTGGAGTGCATTTGAGAGGGTAAGTAAGATAATTTCTAGTTTCTATAATTATATCATGTTTGATACTTTATCTAGTTTGTCATTGCTAACGGTTTTGCATGTGCTATATTTTTGTTTTTGAAGATTCACACTAAGAAAAGGAACAATTTTCAAACTCAAAAGTTGAATGATCTTGTATATGTCATGTGCAACAACAAGTTATTGGGGAATGTCAAGCAAGCAAGAAAACTTGAAGTGGCATTTGAGGACATAGACTCTGACAATGAATGGATTTGTGGGGATGACAATGAAGAAGAAGAGCCACAAGTTGGAGATTTGGAAGTTACAAATGCGAAAACTGATTGTGTGGTTCGATTTGATGATGGAAGTAATTATGGTGAGGATAGTACTAGTTTTGGTGATGGTGCAAGAAATGATGGTGATGATGGTGATGACAATGATGGTGATGAAGATGATGATGATGACGTGGATGCAACTGTAGATGTGGATGAACTGATGTAGTTTCATTTTAATGGTTTGGAACTTTTCTTAATATGATTTTCGCAGTATGGATTTTAAGCTCGCTTGTGAGTCATGAATTCTATTAGTGTGTAACTTGTCTTTTATGATTAAGAACTTATTGTTGGGACTTGTAACTCGCTTATTTGTTTATATTCTGCATAATACATGCTATAGTTAGACATTTTTAATATAATTTACAGTATATGTAAAAGCTTTCACTTTTACGCTTCCGCTTTTACCCATCATTTCGCTTCTACCTAAAAGCTAGCTTTTGACTCCATTGGTTTCAAATAGGTATGGGTGTTACATTTGTGGTATCAGAGCTGGTATATGATCCCACGGGGTACCACTTGGTTTTAAAAATGGAGTCTTGCATGGTTTTGAAAGGATTTTCACTGTTTTAAAGTCAATTATGGATCTGGATCCTGATTTGAAATTGTTATTGATTTCATGTGGAGTCCAGTCAAGGAGGAGTAGGAGCAGCTAACCCACCTCAAGGATCCCAAGGACCCCAAGAAAATAATGCTGAGAATAATGCTGAGAACAATGCTGAGTCCTGTAACCAAGAAATCCCTTATAAAAGGGACTATCCAGAGGTGTTAAAAATGGGTGCAGAACCCTTTACGGGGACTGTTGATCCAAAAGTGGCTCTAGATTGGTTAAAGAAGTTTGAAAGGATTTTTAATCTGCTCAAGTGTCCTGATGATGTTAAATTTGATTATGGGGTGTTCCTTCTAAAGGATGATGCATATGATTGGTGGCTAACAATTCTCAGAGTGCAGGAAGACACTATCATGCACTCCTGGGATGTGTTTCTGCAGCATTTCCGGGCTCAGTATATTTCAGATATATATTGTGCCCAGAAGAAAGTAGAGTTTCTAACTCTGAAACAACATGAAGGGCAGACGGTGAGTGAGTATGAGGCTCAGTTTCATCGCCTACTCACATTTGCAAGGGATTTAATCCCGACTGAGCCAGATAAATGTGCACGGTTTGAAGGGGGGTTTGAGAGGAGATATCAAGTCTAGGATAGCCATCTCTGACATGGTTAATTATGGATGGCTGAAGCCAGCTGCAATCCGGGCGGAGGCTAATATAAATGACGAAAAGGTCCGAGAGATGCCAAACCAAGAGTATGAACATAAAAAGAAGAAGTGGAAGGGAACTACGTCGACCGGTGGGGGTCGATCTTTAGATGGGGGATTTAACAGAGAAGAAGCTCCTCCACGTCCTCGGGGGAGCTATCCATTAGTCAGTTATGGAGATTCTACTCAAATAAGTGCACCTCAGGTCCAAGAATGTATGCAGTGCGGGAAAAGACACTTTGGAATGTGTCGTAAGGGTGCTGTAATCTGTTGACAATGTGGGGGTAGAGGACATTATGCCAGAGAATGCCCTACTCAGGGTGATTTTTCCCCTGCTCGAACACAAACCCCAACTTCAATGTCAAGGACGACTAGTAATGCTTCCAGAGGTAATGTTGGTTGGAGAGCTAAAAGAAGGGGGAATCAAAGTTTGGGCATCAGGGGACAAGGGACAAGAGGTGAAATAGAACCTCGCATTTTTGCAATGACGAGGGGTATACGTGATGTCACTCCCAAGGTTACCACTGGTACACTCTTCAATAAATTTATTAAAATGATTATGATGAAACTTGATTTTAGTATGAATTTAAACTTTTTCAGAATGGTAGTAATAGTTTAGTACTTGTACCTGCCCGAAAGAAATTTCGGGGACAAAATATATTTTAGAGGGGAGGAATTGTCACATCCGCTCCTTCTTAAACTGTTTAATTAAGTGTATGTCATGAGTAAGGATTTAAAAATGTGTCATTGTTGATTAACTAGTGCCCAGTTATGGTGACTAAAATATTTCGAGACTAGTTATTTACTTAAGATTACAAATAATAGGGAATTCATCCTAATAAGTTAGGACCAAAATAGAAATTATATTGCTAGGGTACCGTCTCCCTAGACTATATCAACCTGCATTTGAATTTGGTTAAGTGTAAGGGGTATAGTAAAACCATCAATTTCTTTTGGTTAAGGTAAACCGAATAAATTCTACTAAGTCAAAGGAAGGGAGTTAATATGTTGGGTCTTCCATATGCTTTTGGAGACACGCAGCAGCCTCACTTCCCAAACTAAAGTGAATGGCAAACACGTACCCACCACTTCTACACCACTGCCACAGGCCATTAAATGAGTTAGGAGGGGATTCTTAAATGGATTAGCCTAGGGGAGAAGAGTGGCATGCATCCCTATCCATCCTTTCTCTTGGAGCGTCGAGAGAGAGAGAGGGGGGGGAGACAGAAGCTTCTCATAATCTCCCTCTCCCTATCGCTATCTTGGGTAACCGTTCTTGGGGTCATCTGCATCAATAGAATGGATTAGAAGCTGTGGTGGTTATTAAGCGCGTACTACTAACTAGTAAAGGTAAGTCCCTTTTTCTTTTGTGATAGAACAAGTGAGAGGGAAAGGAAGTAGTTAGTTGGCGGTGGCAATTTCAGCCAAGTCCCTCTGTGATGAAATGATCATGATGCTTTAGAATTATAGGTGAGGGAATTATATGTCCAATTTTGTCATGCATAGTGGTTATATATGTGAATACCAGTACACTCGTTCAGGACAGGGGTCAAGCAACTAATTGGGTAATTAAACTATCATGGATTTAAGGCCAATGAGTTGTGTATGCGTGTGATAATGGTATATATATGCATGAATTTTTAATGGGGTTCTCTGGAAAGAGTTAGTGTACAACAATAAAGGGTGATATGCATATATAATCTCTTGTTTTTGTGGCTGGGTATGCTATTAGGTGGAAGTAAGCTTAATTAAATGACACCATTTATCTTAACCCTGCAGTTGAGATTGAGTAGGTTATAAATGATTGATAAATTGTTATGGTATTAAACGTGCCTATGTTATTTATTAAAAGGAAATGAGCGAGTCGAGGAATCATCAAGAGGTAAGGGTATAGCTGAATAACAATCATACTGTGAGTAAATTCTAACCTAGTACCTTAATTAATACGAGCATGGTATTTGGGTCATGAAGCGGCCCAAACATGAGGTAGCAAATTTAATTATAGTAAAGTGCGGTTGCATGTGTGATAAAGTATGTGTTAATGATTATATCATACGATGGTGATAGGGTGTGATTTCAATGTGGAGAATAATAAGAATGTTGATCAGATGCGTATAAAGAGGCACGAAAGGCCTCTGTGATGATGATAACGATGATGATGATGATGAAGTCAATGATGTTGATATTGATAATGGTGATGCATGTGATGTGAATGATGTTTGTGGATTTGATCTGAGATGATATGAATGTGTGTTTCTTTGTATATGTGTGTTAACGGTTAGTCATGCACCCGGAGAATGTGATGGTGTGATAAGTCCTCAGTGAAAACTTTGTGTACATATTCGGTTATGTGCCGAATGCCCGGGCTATGGGAGGAAGTCACCGATGCTTTAGATCGGCGGAGGTGGGGGAGCCTAAGCATCAAGGAGGAGTGGGAAAGAAGATGATGGTGCATGGCTAGGCCGGAATGGGTGATGGATGTTTGTATGTGCATGTGTTTGATGTGAATCGTGCTTATGTGTGTGTATGTGGTGAATAACGATGTTTAAGTGGTATGATGCTATCAAACCTAGTCGCACTACTTTTCTGTGAGTTTGTGATGGTTCTATATATGCTTATGTGTGAATGGTGAATGTGTGTATAGGTACTAGTGTAATAAGAACAAGAAGGGTATAACGTTAGCCGTGATTGCTCAATACCTTTTTTATGTTAATTACGATACTAGGTTAGCTTTTACTCATTGAGGTGACGTCTCACCCCCGTCAAAAAAATTCCCCAGATTAGAAGTGTTGGACTAGAAGTCAAGGAAACTCAGTAAGGCTCAGCTCGGCATCAATGAGGTGGGATGGTGGACTCAGACTCCGACATGACTTGTTTATAGTATTTTGAGAGAAGATGGTCTTCTCTACTGTCATGTGTTTTGAAGTATTAAAAGTTTATGTAAATTATGGTTTGGTTTGTAAGCTAAACAAGAATGTGTACAGTTTGACAAGGATGGTTTTGTAAAATGGTTTCAAATAGGTATGGGTGTTACAATAATTATATTTTCTGACGATATTTTTTTGTTGGTTAGTAATGATGATTATTTCTAACGCGTAATATGAAGTCGTCAAAAATAATGCGCGTGAAAAATGAAAATCGGGCCAAAAAACATTTTACTGACGAAAAAAATAAAAATTTTGACAAAAATCCACCTCTGTCAGTAATAATTTCATTATTACAGACGGAAGTTGTTTTTCGTCGGAATTATTGATTTTTTCGACGCTTTTTTGAGTCGTCAGTAAGTTTTCATCACAACTTCCTGCCTTTTTTGTAGTGATTCGATTACCACACTTAACCACAGAGTAGAGATAATCGTGTCTCTATATGACATTATGTTAATGTTTATAGAGAAATTTTAAAATGCTATATAGCATTGGTGCTATAGGTTTTTACCTTTATGGTACAACTTCAAGTTGTACCTTTAACGTTATGGTATAATTTCAGCTTGTACCTATACTATTTTACAAATTCTTTTATGGTACAACTTGAACTTGTACCTTTATGTGATGGTACAACTTGAACTTGTGAAGTTGTACCATAACATAAGGGTACAAATTCCTTTATGCTACAACCCAAACTTATACATTTTACGTTATCGTACAACTTTAAGTTGTACATTAAAGTACCATGCTTTATAGCATATTAGAAGTGCTCATATTTATAATGTTATAATGCAAGTTGGGATGCTTTTACTTGATATCTTTGTTATGTATAAGATTTAGGGTATCAAATTTATTCATGCATGTTAGGATTAATGTTTTAAGGCAAATAAAATTTATTTTCCTGATTATTGGTTCAATTTTTTGTGTGGTTGATTAAACAAATTGTTCATTTTTCGTTGAGTGTGGTCTATCTGGACCAGACCAGACACCAACCAAACCACACAGGCATTGTCTGGACCCGACCATATAGTCTTTGGTCTGGTCTATGATCTATATTTCAACCTCTCGGTTTGGACCACAAACCGTATATATGGTCTGGTCTGAACTAGACTGCACTATTTCCCAGCCTACTTGTTGTTGGTGATGTTGTCGACGAGCATGGCGTCCTCTTCGGCCGTCCAGGGGCTTTTCTGCACCTTATCGTCGTCTTCGCCGCAGCAAGGTGGCCTCAGCATTATTGTTGTTGGAAACTCGGCAACTGCAGTAGCGAGCTCGACTGGCTAGCTAGGTTTTTGTTTCTTGCCGTGAAGCTAGCTAATGATAATAACGAACTTAAATTGTGAAGGAACACTACAAAAAAGAAGAGGTTCGGGGACGACAAAAGTCATCCCCGGAAATAGGAAAAATCGTCCCTATAGTTTTTGGGGACGACTATGTTGTCCCCAAAGAGTGGTTCCCTATACTCTTGTCCTCTATTCTTTTGGGGACGACAAAAATCTAGGTCGTCCCCATTACTAGGGACGACAGTCGTCCCCGATACTCGCAAGTCGTCATCTTGTTTCTTGTTCATGAAAGACAAAATGTCGTCCCCATAGCTATAACTGTAGCGACAATATGTCATCCCCATAACTATAACTTTAGCGACAATAAGTCGTCCCCTAAACATCATTTCTAGCGACAACCTGTTGTCCCACATAATCGATTTCATAATTGCGTTGGGACAATATGGGGATAATTTGTTGTCCCCTTTTCTTTTTATAGGGTCGACATATCGTTCCTATAGGTGTCAAATTGAAGTCCAAAATTCGTCCCCGAAAGCTTTATTCAAGGACTAATACTCCTATACTATATCTTTAGAGACGACAAGTTGTCACCTATTACTCTTAGGGCAATTGTCCCTTAAGTTCTGTATTAGGGGACAAGGAGTTGTCACTTATGTGCCATTTGGGAACGACTAATTGTCCCCTATGTAACTCGTATGAACGACCTATTGTCCCTTAGCATGTGTCTTTGGAGACGAATAATTGTCCCATGTATCACTTGTGGGGACGATCAATTGTCCCTTAAACTGTATCATGGAGATGCCCAATTGTCACCTATTCCCTGGTAGGGACGACCAATCATCCCTTAAGAAGTGTCTTTAGGGGCGTCAATTTGTCACATATTTAACTTATAGGACGACCTATTGTCTTTAACCTTTATAGTTGGGGACAACTCATTGTCACTCATATAACATTATGGGACGACCTGTTGTCCCTTATGTGGTAGCATGAGGGACGCTAAAATGTCATCTACGTAAATTCTAGGGACGACTATGTGTCACTTAAATGGTGTCTTGGGGAACGAGAGGTTGTCACCTTTGTAATTTATGGGGACGATCATGTGTCCCTTCACCAATATCTTAGGAGGCGACAAGTTGTCGTCTATATTAATTTTATAGCAAAATATCATAAAATCATCTCCATAAAAATTAGAAAAAAGCTACTACAATGTCATCCCATCCAAGACTAGGAAAACCAACATTCATAGTTTGAAAGAATAACCATTCTCTAATGAAACAAGAAAAAACTAAAAAAATATTGGATAACAAGTTCTAAATCCATGATTTGTTCTACTATCTCTCTTAACAAAAAAAAAAGACTACCACTTATAACTCTGCATACGGCACCATGTTTCCACCATTAACCATCATTCTTCTCTTAGCTCCCTGGAAGTGAAATTAGACAAAATTTAACAATTAAATATATGGCAAGGAGCCAAGGACATCAATTGCATGAAATGGAAGCAAAGACTCGATTAGGAAAAGAAATGCATTGGCCCATCTTAGAAAAGAAAAGCTATAAAATCCATAACAATTTAAGGCTCTTGGGTACCTATTTTTCCTTTTTGAGTTCGAAACCTGCTTGTGTGGTGCACTTTGTTTCTTATTCGCACGTCTAGCCTGCATAACGAAATTGAACGAGAATGTTAGTAATTTAAACATATTTAATCTTCAACCTTAGTATTAAATTTTATACCTTACTAAAACATTCATTCCTTGTATATTCTTCTCCACGTGTGTCTTCCGAAGTGAGAGCATCCTCCCTCTAATTTTATGAGTGTGTTAGTCTGATTGTGATTTTGTAAATGTATTGAAAAAATTCATGTAAGTAATAAGATAGAAAATTGACTACTTACTTGCCCACTGCGAGAAGATGATTCATGCCTTTCATTTTCCATCATTTCCATCAATTTTTCGAACCTTTGGGTTAAGGATAGATTTTGTTTGCCTTGATCTGCTAATTTTGCAGTTAGGTCAACAACTTGAGCCTCCAGTTTTTCTATCTTCCAATTCTGATTGTTTGTCATACCCTTTGCAGTTGACTTGTACCCAGTACCTTTTCCGCGAACATAGCCAGAGCGAGCACCAAACACCACTCTCAAGACATCTTCATTATCGTTAACAGTCTCATCCACAGGCATGACTTCTTCTTCTGTTCTTCTTATCTCATGCTGGAATGAGTAAAAATGTAATAACATGTTAGTTCAAGCATAGTTGAAAGAAAACAAGAGATTAATGCAAATAAAAAGAACTTACATAATAATGCTCTGATGAACTATCCACCCACTTCCGCTCATTATTTGAATTCAAACTGCTATGTTGCGCCATCCAAACTTCCGAGGCAGATGGTAGTTTTCCAGTTTTCTCATCAATCTAGTATCATAATTTAAACTTTAATCGATAAGGAGCGACAAATACATGATTTGGCATCCAACAAAATTGAAAATCAAATTTACCATATCATATTCTGTTTGTGCAAATGGCGTTGGTCCGGTGAAGGCAATGACCTTTTGATTTGAGCGATTATTAGCATTTTTCAAACTAAGAGCCTGTACAAAAACAATTAAATTTAACACATTTGTTTGCTAAAAGTGCACATAGTAAAAAAGAGTGCGACAATTCCTAACAACTATAAAAATGGCAATAATTATAAAAGGAGAATACTACCTTAAATTTTGGAGATGCAAACAGTTCCAACATTTGTTGCCAATCTTCTGCAGATAATCCTTCAGGGATATGCTCCATCCGCTCTTCATCTGTTTCATACTTCTTGTACTTGTCATGCAATCTTGACCTATATTTTCTATAGCTGGCTCTCATTTCATTGAAACAATGCTCTCTAAATTTATACTTCTTGACTTCAAGCGACTCTGGCGGAGGTGTGTTTTCCAACTCCTCAATTTTCATCAACTTAGGAGGACTATCAGGACTCACTTGGAAATAATCCTAGTAATAAGAATACTCGAATTAATCAATTAATATTGTTATTGAAAAACATCACATGAGATAGAGCTTCTTACCGTTGCCATACTCCATAATTGGTCACTATACTGTGGAAGTATAGTGGGGTAGTCATGGATTGAAGCCCCAATCACCGATCGAACGCAAACTGCCAACCACATATTTAGTGATCTTTCATTCGGGCCAACAGGACGAAAATGTTTCTTGCCCGGCATAAAATATATAGGCAATTTCTCCTTCTTGGATTTTGTTTTCTTATCCAAGTCGATTCCTTTATATATGCCTCTACTGCCAACATGACCCTTGGAAATGCCTATTAGTAAAACTAATTTGAAAAGTAAGAAATTTACAAATTATATAACACCAATAGAATTGCTCGTGAATCATAGTACCTTGATAAGTTTCATCTGCAACAACATTTTCTGTGAGTTCAGGACGAACACGGGGAGACGATCCGCTACCTTTAAAATAAGTAGGTTGCTCTCTAAATCAAGCTATTACTTGAACACATAGTAGAACTCAAACACATAATAGTGGAAAAAATCCCAAAGTACACACGTTCTTAAAAAAAATTCCCAAAATACATAAGTTATAAAAAAATTTCCAAAAGTACGCATGTTTGAGCATCACCGTTTTTGACAAAGGCGGTGAAGGTTATCACCGCGTTTAATAAAAACGGTGAAAATTTCACCGTTTTAAACTAAAACGGTGACGACTTCACCGTCTTAGTCTAAAACGGTGAATGCATCACCGTTTTAAACTGAAACGGTGAAGTCATCACCGTTTTAATAAAAAACGGTGAGCACCTAACCGTTTTAGTTGACCACGGTGAAGTCGCTGACGTGGACAGACGCGGGGTATTCACCGCGTTAGACAAACGCGGTGAATACCCCGTGTTTGTTTACGTCAGCGATCCGCGCCATTGTGCTTTCACCGTGGCCGTTAGATGCGGTGAGGCGCGGATCGTGGTTTTCTTCCCACGATCCGACGCCTCACAGCACGCCACGTAGGCAGAGGCGGAACCGTTTTTGGGGAATGCAAGGCCTTCACCGCGTTCATCAAACGCGGTGAATGCTCCCCCCTAATTACTGCGCAGCAGCTCCTCCCCCCTTCCCCCAACTATAAATACCCCCTTCCCCTTTCACTTTCAACTCACCCCACAAACATTTCACTTCTTTCTCCCTCAATTTATCCGCTCTAGTCTCGTTCTAAGTATGCTCTGTGGTTGCGGCTAAGTCCGATCTTCCACATCAGAAAGAATTACTAGAGTTTGACCCTAAAGCCCCCGTCCCGCTAAGTTCCCGTCCGTTACAAACCTAAACTCGTCAAACCTCTGTCCGGCCTACGCCAAAAAATGGACGAAGAGGCTCTTCGTGTAGGTTTTTGGTTTATGAATTTTTTCTAATCGAAACAATTTGATTTTTTGTTTTTTTTATCAAAACAATCTCTTATTTCATTACTTTTTTATATATGGGTGCCGAGATATACGATCCTCGATTGTATATCCATTATGGCCCAAGGGATGCGAGTCTCTTAACCGATCAAGAAGCGCATCGCTCCCGTGCTATTTGGGATAACAATCCGGTAATTTTTTCAGTATTCTTGCTTTATTTTATTATTTTCTAAGGTTTTATTTTGCTTTATTTAATCTAATAAATTGTTGTTTTCCCTATTTTTTTTTAGGAATCGCTTGTTCCCGTGGTTCATAAAGGGACCAATAACTTGCCCGCTTGGCATCCAAGGTTGGAGCCCTATATAGCGAGGACAGGTTTGGGAATGTTGCGCCATTTCTTACGGATCAAAATCGACAACGATCTGCTTACGGCAATGGCAGAACGATGGCGTCCCGAGACCCATACGTTCCACCTTGCGGAGGGGGAAATGACGATCACCCTCAAAGACGTGGCGATCCTCACCGGGATGCCTATTTCTGGGGATGCCATCATTGGTCCCACGACCAAACCCGAAGGAGGTTGGGGGCCGCTCATACGTGATCGTTTGGGCTTTGACATGCCGACCACCACTCCAATTCAAGGACGGGGGCATCCACCGTTGAATGCGGGGCAAGTGTCGGTCCCGTGGCTGGTATCTCACATCCAGCAAGAGGTGGAAATCAATGACGAGACACCGGAAGAACAAGTCGAGCGCTACGCCCGCATCTACCTCATCGGTTTGGTGGGTGGATTTTTGTTCCCCGACAAGTCCAACCGGTGGATTCAAGGCATATGGTTGGATATGCTCACAGGTGACTGGGATGCAATCGGGCAAAAGAGTTGGGGATCGGCCGTGCTAGCGGGCGTATACCGGGAGCTGTGTACTTGCTCGAAGGTTGGGGCAAAGCAAGCTGGTGCTGCGATGTTCATCCTACAACTGTGGGTATGGGAGCATCTTCCAATGTTCGCACCTCCCGACCCACGTCCATACCGGAGAAACGATGATGAGCTCAACTTTCTGCAAAATCTCCCCTACGGTGTCAAGTAAGTTTATTTCGTACTTAGCCCAATTTAAATTTTATTACATGCTTGAGCTACATTTAAATTGAATTTATTCCGTACTTAGCCCAATTTAAATTTGATTACATGCTTAGCTAGATTTAAATTGAATTTATTCCGTACTTAGACCAATTTAATTAATTATATGCTTAGCTATATTTCAATTAAATTGATTCCGTACTTTTACTTACAAGGTGGATAGGAGCAAATACGAATGACCATCAACCTGAGCATTCCTTACTGTTTTATCGTGCTGAGTTAGATAAACCATGGTGGAATCAGGTAATCATGTTTTTTGCATATTTGAACAAGTTAAATTTTGTCAATGTAAATGGTCGTTAATTCCGAATTTTTGAATGAATATAGGTTATATGGGATCCATATCCACGTGAAGTGGTTGAGCTGCATCATCTTAGGCACCCTCTGGATCACGACACATGGTTGTGCAAGGTGCCATTGATCTGCTGGCACATGGTGGAATGGCACCTACCCGATCGATGCCTGAGGCAATATCTTCCTGGAGCAACCAATTCCACAAGACCCGCCAGCAGGTTTCAGGGAGCTACATGCTATGGACCTCCGTCACACTGCAAAGAACTGGCAGCTAAAGCATGGATTCTACATCAACATCTGGGAGAATCGATCCCAATGGGAGGTGCAAGGGATGCCGGAGACGAGACCGATGGGCTACCACGATGGGTACATGCAGTGGTATCGGAAGTTCACCATGAGATGGGTGTCAAAGCAAGGTGCTGTGATGGGTTCGTTGGTAAGTCATCCTAATCTCCCTCATTCTAAAATATATTTATTTTAAGGTTTAGTTAATTTGATATATTTTGTGCTTTCCTTAGGTTGATGGTTTGGAACACGCCAAGTACACTCTCGAAAGTGCTCCAACCATGGATGAGCGGAAGACTACTTGGTTGACCCGACTTATGAACAACCTCCTGAGTTGCACCAGAGAGCAAAGGAGGGATGTCGTGGCCTATCCTCCCGTTCCCGCCCCGGCACGACCCTCATTACCATATATATATATATATATATATGGTGGCTACTTCGGTGCACTCACTTTTTTGGGTGCATTCAGTGCACCCACCTCTAAAAGTGATCATCATACATCAAATTTTGAAATTTAATGCGTAGCATTAGTCTCATATGATGATATAACACATAATCACAACTAATCAACCCATTACCCTAACCTATTAACATTCAATTTTGAATCCAAACCCAAAATGTAAACCCTACCCCTACCCTAAATTCCTAAACCCTGAATCATTCAAATTAAAGTGAATCTTGAATGATTTTTGTACAAATTCATGTGGTTCTTGTTCATCATACTATAAGGGATGATTGACATCGTTTTCACATGAATCGTCTGCTCAGAATGACGATTATGAGGCGGGTGCATTGAATGCACCCAAAAAAGTGAGTGCACCGAAGACATAACCATATATATATATATGTGTGTGTGTGTGTATATATACATATATGGTGCCTTCTACGGTACCCCGGGTGAAATCCGGGGTACCGCATACCTTAAATACGAAAACACTATCTAGACCTCGAATTAGCAAGATTTTTGGGCATGATACTATACCCTAACCCTTAATGAGTGAACCCTAGGTCCTAATTATCTAAATCATAAACTATAAATCCTAAGATGGTGCATTGATTTTTTTGCCTATATTTGGACGAATCATAACTGTCGATTATTGTTTCTAATCAAATTGATCTTGGGGTATAAGATTTAGAGAATTAAGACCTAGATTTTGATCTTTAAGGGTTAGAGTATAGTATCATACCCGAAAGATCAATCAATTCAAGTTCTAGATATCGTTTTTGTACTTAAGGTATGCGGTACCCTGGATTTCACCCTGGGTACCGTAGAACTCCCCATATATATATATATATATATATATATGGTTCAGGCTAGCGTACGCCCGGGCAACTAGTTTATCTTCTGCTAAAAGAACAACGTGGCTAATGAGATGGCTCAGGCAAAGGAGCATGAGACCCCTTGCAAGCCTGCCAAGCAAGACAAGTTGATCAGGTACCATCCGTTGTTAAGTTGGAAAATTTGAAACCAACACCAAAGGAATGGACTTTCCTTAAGGAGGGAAGGCATGTAGTGTATGGATGGTTGGTCTGGTTTGATTCATGGATTGGGCAATGGGTGTACACCTTTGGCACATTGGTAGTTGCCAAAGGGTGTGGAAATCAGTGACGTCTATCACTCCTTACTATATTAATTATATAAATAATAGTTAGAAAAAAAAAGAGAAAAAGTGAAAATAGGCCACTCATGGCTAAAAAAGAAGAAGATGAAGTAGCAAGTTTTTGTTAGACTTGTGATGAGAGGTCCTTGTCATGAATGGTAATTCACAGTAATGTGTTTGGATCCATGCCACTTACAGGGCATGAGCAAGAGATTGGGTATGTGACCTAGAACCTTCATGGTTCGTGCCATCCTACCCAATGGGGCTTACTTGTTAAAAGATTTAGATGGTGTGTTTCATGATCGATTGATCAATGGTAAGTATCTCAAGCCTTACGTCCCTTCTCTTTGGGATGTGGGGTGTCAAAGGGTTCAATGTTAGTAGGCCACCATGGTGGTCAACATGCCAAGCCGCCCGCACCCTAAGGCATGACATGATACCCTCATGATGAAGTCTGGCTTGAGTAGCTAGC